TTGGGAGACAGGTGCTATTGTTATGCCCATTTTACAGTTGAAAAACTGAGGTAAACAGAGGTTAAATGATTTGCCCAGGGTCACACAACTAGTAAGTGAATGAGGCTGGCTTTGAATTCAGATCTTCCTGACTGTAGCCCAGAGCTCTATCATCAGCTACCTGCCCAAGGAGAGACATTGGGATCCTTTGCTTGAACCTTTTGTATACATACTTGGTTCAGGCTCAGTAGCCATCTAAAAAGCCTTTTTGGTCACCACCACAGTAAACCCAGGAAACAAGATACCTGTGCGTGTGCTCAATTGGGGAGAGTACTCCCATGTCGGGCATTTCCAGAAGCGGGCTCACCAAACCTCCAAATGGATTGGCAGCAGATCGAGCACCTTCACATACTCTAAAGACTGGGCCTTCATTGGTCAGTCCCCTCATTACGTGGACAATAGAGCAGTTCCTACTCTGTGACAGGCTTTTCCTTTCCTCTCTTGGAAATTCCCTCAATAGACCCAACCACTCTTCTCCAGCTGCTATGGGTCTCCACCCCCTGCTCTGTTCTAGGCCCTCTTCTCTTTTCCTTTTAGACCAGAGGTTCCCAAACTTATTTGGCCCACCACCCCCTTTAAAAAAAATTACTCAGTGCCCCTCTGGAAATCTGCTTTTTTTTTAACCCATTAACAATTTATTTTGAAATTTGCATCATTTCAATATACATATATACACATATATAACATTTTTTTAAAAAAAATGACACAACTTGGGGGCAGCGAGGTGGCGCAGTGGATAGAGCACTGGCCCTGAGGTCAGGAGGACCCGAGTTCAAATCTGGCTTCAGACCAAACACTTGACACTTACTAGCTGTGTGACCCTGGGCAAGTCACTTAATCCCAATTGCCTTAAAAAAAATGACACAACTTAATTTATTGTAAATGTGTGGGTTTTCCCCCCCACAGTTTTGATGATGCAATATTGTATCATGTAACCATATAGTATCATACTGTAAACAAGTCATTACATACACATATTTCTGTCAATGCATGCCAGACTTCCCTCACTTGCTTGCCAACACTTGCTTGTTAAGACCTGTCAGTGGACTTGACCACTGATTGGTTATAACTAATATTTTGTGTTTATTTGGAGAATAATGTAATCACTATGACTTCAACTCTTACACAACAGATGAAACATGTATGAATGGTTTTTCAAAATTCTCTTCTTATGCTTCCACTACCCCCTTGTTTTTATTCAATGCCCCCCAATTGCACCTGAGGCTACTACCAACCCCCCTCCCCCAATCATTCCAGCACCCCCCAGGGGGTGGTCTGGGCCACTTTGGAAACCTGTGTTTAGACTTTTACCTGGTGATCTCATGGGCTCCCATGGATGACCAACTCTTTGTTGATTATTCTCAAATTTACTTATTCTGCCTTATCGTCTCTGCTGACCTCTAGACTCAAATCTCCAGCTGCCTGTTGGGCATCTTGAACTGGCTGTCCTGTAGACATCTTAAATTCAACATGTCCCAAATAAGCTTATCTTTCCCCTCTAAACTCCTCCTTCTAACTTCCCAATTATTGCAAAGTCACCCAGGCTATCATCCAGAGTCCTTGCTCTCTCAACTTCCCCTCCCCCATGGATAAATGTTGCAGAGGCCTTTGATTTGACCTTAGTAACATATCTGAATATGCCCCCACCTCTCCTCTGCCACTACTCTGGTGTAGGCACTTATCACCTTACACCTGAAAAAATTATTAATGTTTTCTGTTTCTTATATTACCATGCATCCCATCTGTGCCTCCCCTTCCTCCTTCAATTTTTTTTAAAAGAGGAACAAAAATCAACACAACTGATTTATATATTGAGAAAGTCTGAAAATGTGCAATATGTGATACCTGTGGACTTCCCACTTCCACCAAGCTGTAAGTTGGGAGTGTCTTCTCATATCTCTTCGAATCCCACTTGATCTTTATAATTTTGTTTTATTTACTTTTTTTTTGGTGTTTGTTCTTTCCATTTAATTTAATAATGATTTAAATGGTTGTAGTTACTATGTGTATTGTTTTCTTGGTTCTGTTTTCTTCACTTCGCATCAGTTCATATAGATTTTTCCATGCTTCTTTGTATTCATCATACATCATTTCTTATAGCACAGTAGTATTCCATCCTGTTCACATACCACAATTTGTTTAGCCATTCCCCAATCGATGGGCACCAGCTTTGTTTCTAATTCTTAGCAATTAAAAGTGCTACTTTAAATATTTTGGAGTGTATGGAGACTTTTTTCTTATCAATTTATTAACTGCTTTCTATTTGCAGACATATTATGAAGAACTAGATAGAGTCAGAGATAGAAATTAAATTAAATTAAATTGCAAGTCTCTGCTTGTAAGGAATTTATATTCTATCAAGGGAGAGTACACACACACACATATATATATATATATATATATATATATATATATATATATATATATACACAAAATAGCTATGAAGTAAATACAAGGTCATTTGAGAGCTGGAGGAAATAGGAGTAGGAGGTGGGGGAGGAAAGGTTTCATGTAGGAGGTGATGTTTGAGCTGACCTTTGATGGAAAGTAGTTGTCCTAAGATTTGGATGTGAGGAGATAGTGCATTCCAGGTTGGAGAGCGGTCAGTTTTTGCAAAAGCATGAAAGCATGAAATTGGATATCATGCATTAGGAATAGCAGGCCAATTTGGCTGCCGTAAAGCATGTAAAGGAGAGATGTGTATGTGGCTTACAAAAGGCTTTAAATGTTAAGCAGAGGAGTTTGAATGTGATTATCGAGCTGACAACCACAAGAGTTGATTGAGTAGGAGAGTGACCTGATGGGGCCTGTGCTTTAGGAAGATCGCTCCCAGATGTGTAGAGTATGAACTGGCTAGGGGAGAGACTTGAGATAGGACAGATAAGGCCAGGTGAGAGATAGGAAAGGCCTGAGCCAAGGTGATTATGGTGAGAATAGAAAGAAGGGGACAAAAGGGAGAGACCTTGTGGAGGTGCAATTGGTTGAGGGATTAGACCCAAAGGAGAGTAATTCTTTGATGCCATGCTAGAGCAGTGTTCTTAATCTGGGGTCTGTGAATTAAAAAAAAAAGTGTTTGACAACTGCATCTCAGTATAATTGTTTTCCTTTTGTAATTCTTTGATATGTCTACCAGGAAAGATACATGAAATGGAAATAATCAGGAACTTTGTTAATATTATAATAAATAACAATAGCTCATATTATGTATTATGAAGCCCTTTACATGTGTTATCTCATTGAATATTCATATTGAACAAAGACATTTGTATTTTATTTTATTCATCAAATACATTATTCTGAGAAGGGGTCCATAGGCTTCACCACGCTGCCAAAGGGATCCACAACAGAAGGTTAAGAAGCCCTACCCTGGAGGGAGGTTTCTGGTAGAGTGTCTCAGGGATCTTTCCTTGGGCCTGTGCTGTTTATTAACCTTTTTGTCAGTGATTTAGATAAGAGCACAGATGACATACTCATCAACTCTTGGAATAACACAGAGCTGGGAGGGGTCACTAGAACATGTTGGGGAACAGAGTCAATATTTCAAAAGATCTCCCAGGCCAGAATGATGGGCTGGCTCTAATTAGATGAAAATTAAAAGGGATCACTGGATTAAACAAAACTTCAGAAGTACAGGATGGGGGAAGTGTGATTGGAACAGAATTTACATCCAAAAAGCATCTGGGGTTTTGGTGGACGGCATGGTCAGTGAACTCAGAATGTGATATGGCTGCCCACAACAGGTCGCTTTCTTAGGTGATAACAGGGGACTGGTATCTAGAACCAGGGAGATGGTCGTTCCACTGTACTCTGCACTAAATAGATACATCCTGCACTGTTGTGTCTTGTTCTAGTGATTCATTTTCTGAAGGTCATTGGCAAATGGGATACATCCCAAGGAGGGCAACCAGAATGGTTAGGATTGAAGATTGGGCCACATAAAGATTGTTTGTAAACACACAAGGGGATGTTTAGCTTGGAGAAGACTTGAGGATGGGGTGGGGGACACAGATGGACGTGTAATTGTCTCCAAGTATTCGAAGAGAGTTTAGACTTCTTACCTCCAGAGGGGCAGAGCTGGAAACAATGGGAGGAAATTGCAAGGAGATAGACTCCTTCCTTGATGTAAGAAACAACTTGCTAATAATTAGAGCTGTCCAAAAGTGGAATGGATGGCCTCAGGAGACCATGAGCTCTCCATCACTGGAGCTCTTCAGGTAGGTGTCTAAGGCATCCTAGAGGGATTTTTTGTCAAAATTTTTTAAAAAAAGACCCAGAGCTTGGCTTATGGAACTCCCTGTGAAGAAATGCTCTCTACCAATACAGATGAACAATGTCTCTGCAACTTTGTGGCTCAGCAAGTTCTTGTTGTTGTGGAAGTGTAAGGTGGTGTTACCTAGTGGATTGAGTACTAGGCTTGGAGTAGGAAGATCAAAATCCTGCCTCTGATGCTTATTAACTGCGTAAGGGTGTGCAGATCACGGACTCTTTAGATAACTTGCTGAGGACTTGCCTACGAGGCAGAGGTGGATTTCAGTTCCCAGCCTTTAGCTCCCCCAGGCTGATGACATCGCAGATGCTTCTTGCATTTACAGATAGTTTGGATTAAATAACCTTTGAAGTTCCATCTAACCTTGAGAGCCTGGGATACTGACTCCAGTAATCCTTTTTCAACCTGAGTCCCTTAGACACTCAAAACTCAGCTCTCATGTCAACACTAGATCTTTCTTCTCCCGGTTAAGCATCCTTAGTCCCTTCATCTGATCTCAGCTGTCCTTTCTTAGATGCTCTTCAACTTGCCAATGTCACTCTTAAAATGTGGTACTCCCTACTGTGATCCTCAAGGCACAACTGAAGTGGAATACCTTAAGACCTTGGGTTGTAGCAACATAAGTGACCAGGAAGTGGCCTGCCTTGGGTGCTTCCAGGTGCTTGTCTCATGTCCCCCCAAGGCCTGTGCTCCATTACTGTGAGGGTGGTATTCTGCTGATCAGTTTCCTTAAAGCCCCCTTCATGTCCCTATTTCTCAGGCTGTAAATGAAGGGATTCAGCATGGGTATGACCACTGCACACATCACAGCAGCTGCCTTGTCCTTCTCTGGAGAAGTGGGTCCTGAGGGCTGCAGGTACACAGCAAAAATGGTCCCATAAAACAGTAAGACCACAGTGAGGTGAGAGCCGCAGGTGGAGAAGGCTTTGCGTTTTCCCTCAGCAGAGGGGACCTGCAGAACGGCACAGAAAATGCAGATATAGGAGAGAAGAATGCACACTAGGGGACTTATGCCCATGAAGATGCCAAAGACTAAAACCACCAGCTCATTGATGTGGGTGTCAGAGCAGGAGAGCTTCAGCAAGGGCATGAGGTCACAAAAGAAGTGGGGGATTTTGTTGTCTGCGCAAAAGGTTAACTTTGCCATCAGGGAGGTGTGTACCACCGACTGGAGGTTGGTGGTACCCCAAGGTCCTCCTACGAGCAGGATGCAGAGCCGAGGGCTCATGATGGTCGCATAACGCAGTGGGTGGCAGATGGCCACAAAACGGTCATAGGCCATCACGGCAAGGAGAAAGCTGTCCATGGTTCCAAACAAATGGAAAGAATACATTTGGATGAGGCAGCCAGCATAAGGGATGGCCTTGCTGTGTGTCAGGATATTTATCAGCATCTTAGGCATTGTGGTGGATGCCTGACACAGATCCACAAAGGACAGGTTGGAAAGGAAGAAGTACATGGGGGTGTGGAGGTGGGAGTCAGAATAAATGGCCAGAATGATGAGCAGGTTCCCAACTATGGTTACCATGTACATGCTCAGGAAGAGTCCAAAGAGGGGCCACTGTTGGTCTGGTCTCTCTGAAAGTCCCATAAGGAGGAATTCTGATACACTTGTGTGATTGTCTCGTCCCATGTAGCTGATGTGTCTGCCAAGAAGGATACACAAAGTCAAAATACAGGTACCTCTAAGGAATCAGAAACTTTGCTAATAATAAAATGGTGGTAACCACTCATTTCTGTATTGCAAAGCACTTTATATCATTGATCATGGTCCACACTTTTTTTTTTTTAGTGAGGCAGTCGGGGTTAAGTGACTTGCCCAAGGTCACACAGCTAGTACATGTCAAGTGTTTGGTCTGAGGCCAGATTTGAACTCAGGTCCATCTGACTTCAGGGCCGGTGCTCTATCCACTGCACCACTTAGCTGCCCCCATGGTCCATATATTTATTAAGCACCTACTATTTATTCCCAGTGTACAATCCTTCCACAAAAATAAATATGACAATAGACCATACCCTCAATGTGTGGTCTAATCTAATAGATGAGAAATACATAAATATTATACAAAGTAGTATGGAAGTCCAGCAAGAAGGCTTTCCATCACCTTCTTAGCATGAAACAGCTTTCACACATTATAATGGGAACAAAATTGAGTTTGTGCTGAATTCCTCTCCACGGAATTGGAAAGAGTTCTCATGATTTCATGCTTAGTTTTACAGATCCTTGTATCCTGCTGTTGATTTGGGAAAGGAAATTGGAATCTTGGAACACTCTCAGAATTGAGTAATTTTAAGTCAGATTGACATTGAGTTTGATAGATTAATTAAGCATGATTATTATCCTGCCTTTTGCATAGTAATTGATGGACAACAGTGACATTAAAACTGATCAATACCTTGTTGCTGACTTTTGAATGCAAAACAGCAAAGAATGTCAAAATTGGGAAATAGATACATGAAGTTTTTTTTCCATGTAGATAATTTGGAGGTGTATTCAACTGAACTGTTATTGAACTCGTGTCACTATGTTTATTTGTTTGTAAGATTATTTCATGTTAATGCTATGTTTATAAATTTCCAGCATTATAATTTTGAAAAAGACTATAAGACTGTACTGTTAAGTTTTTGGATTGATGCCTGTTGTGTGATGCATATGTAGCTTTAAGGGGATGAGTCCTCTTTGATGTATTGTGATCGCTTTATAAGAACTACCACATAGTGGAAGCATTAGTCTGGGGGACATGGCACTCCCTCTGAGTAATGATTGTGTAAATTTGTGTGTGTAGCATATCAATAATTAATTTGTTTTTGGTAAATAATACAAATGACCTTGAGAAATAGAAAAAAAAAAGTAAAAGTACAATTAAGTGTGAAACAAGTAGTGATCATGATCCCAAACCAGTGGCTTTGATTTCTGGTTGTCTAAAGCAGGGAGAACAAATGTCACTTTATAGCTGGTATCCTCACAGTACAGAAAAGGCAGTTTAAGTGGCTGAAAGTCTTGCTGAATTTTAAGCCTAAAAACTGAAATCAGAAGTGAATGGACGTTTGAAGGGCCTCTGAACATGATAATTAGAAAACTGTATTTGGGCCTTAAAACTTCAGATTGCCTTTCATGAAAGACAAGATGGATTTTTATTAATTTACAACCTGGATATTAGCTTGCTTTTACAGATTACCTAAACACATTTGAATCCTGTCTCTTCCCTCCCTACATGGGAATATGATACTTTGGCAAATATGTATGCAAATTATTAAAATTTTTAAATGGCAGTTAATTAAAGATTTTGTCTGATAGTGTGAGAAGGCAGTTCCAGTTGAACAACCCAAGGAGACAGTGAAGTTCACAAGACCCAAGAATATTTGGAATGTTATGGATATGGCAAATTAGCTTCCTACACTGTATTTAAATAGTGAATTTGGGGATTTTCCCCATGGCATTTTGAGCCTTACTGAGTAAACTCTAATGCTTGTCATATATTATGCAACAGCTGTGAACAAATCCCAATACCTGTTGGTATTAATGTTGATTTCAAGACAATTACATCTTGCTTTAATTGCAAGTATTGACACTTATTGGGTGAGGTGGAATCTCTTGGGGCTGTCACTTTGATCCTGATAAAAGTGTTTGTTGACAAATCAAGCTATTTCCCATGGCTGCTGACTAGTGAGTACAAAATAGAATATCCCTAAACCAGAAGCAGGCAAATGAAGATCATGAGGAAGGTCAAGATGACTGTCTTGCAAGCATAATGACAGAGTCTCCCAGATTCCTTTCCTCTGGTAGGAATGGGTAGCTTTCTACCAGTCAGTCAGTAAGGCTAGCTCTTATAGCCCTTGAATAGGGTGAAATTAGGAGAGGGAGAGGCTGGGGGTGGGGGGACTATGAATCCACTGGCATGGGGAACACTTTCTACCAATGCAGGTTGTCTCCTCTACAGTTTAAAGAGTTGCCTAGAAGTTAAATGACTTGCCCAGGGTCACACAAACAGGATGTGTCAGAAATAGGACTTAAGCCCAGGCTTTGGTGGGAGTAGAGAAAGACAAGGGAATAAGCATTTATGTAGCACCTACTATGTGCTAGGCACATAGTAGCTAAGTGCCTTTTACAAATATGTCATTTGATAATATATTTTTGAGGCTCCTCTCTGTCTACTAATGTATAAATCAGCTGTTCCAAAAAGATATTTTACCTTTACCTGAGATCAGAGTTAAGGGATTCTTGTCTCTACATACCTAAGCAAGGTCGTCTGTGTCTTTTAGACCAAGATGTGATAGAACATTTTAACGTACAACAACTTACATTTTGCCCCTCTTAAGGACGATTAAGTTCAGTGAACTTATGCGTCCCCGATGCTATAAGTGATACTAATACAGGGAGAGAATTGATTCTCTCCTGCCAGCCCCACTGTCACTTACCTAATGAGATGAGAACATCAGGGTGTGGAATAGCTCTTTCTGCACCTCTGCCCACACCTTTGCCTCTTCCCCTAAGGACCAACTGCCACCTTTAGGTGACTTTTGAGGATGTTGCTCTTCTTTAAGATCAAGGCCCCAGAAACTGGGGTGGAGGGAGGGGGCAAACCTTGGAGCATGGCAGAATATCTTTCATACCCTGAGCCTGTATGGTATGGGGTTGTGCTCATATGCCTTGCTGCTGTAATCCACAGTATGGCAAATGGCACTCGTGTACAAAGAGCCCAAAGTAGGAGGATGGCCACAGTGGTCCAAAGAGATGAGTCTGTCCCTCCTTTATCCTCCTTTGTACAGCAGTATAGCAGTACTTACCCAAACTGCTTGTCTCACAACACTGGCCAGCAGGTGAAGACCACCCATGCTGCCCACCCCTTACCTTGGAGACCCTTTGTAAGCTAAGTATTATTCCTCTAAAGGTGTTCTCATTATTGACGTGTGCCTTGGACAGGTGGGAACCACCCTTAGGTTCACAGAGACTCCACCACTGTTACTAAAAAAAACTCCATAATATTCCCAGACTTGGATTACCCCTTACACTAGACAACGATAGACTCACATTTTACATTAATAATAACTAGCATTCATGTAGCTCTTCAGGGTTTGCAAAGTATTTGACAAACTATATCTCATTTGATCCTCACAGTAACCCTGGGAGGTAAGTGTTATTATTATTTCAGTTTTTCAGATGAGGAAACTGAGGCAGACAGAGGTTAAGTAACTTGCTTAGGGTCAAACAGCTAGTAAGCATCTGAGGCCAGATTTGAATAGAGGTCTTTCTGACTCCAGGTCTAACCACTGTACCACCTAATACATATACATATACATATACATATACATATACATATACATATACATATACATATACATATACATATACATATACATATACACATACACATACACATACACATATACACATACACATACACATACATATACACATACATATACATATACATATACATATACATATACATATATACATATATATACACATATATATGGAACATTTAAAATAGAGCAACACCTGATCTACAGTTACTACCCAGAATTGACACAGAACACAAAAAAATTCTGTCATAAAAACATGTATAGTCCAAGTTGGCAGGAAACTGGCCCTAAGTAGCCTAACATTCCTCCTATAACTGTCATGTACATTAGGGACACTGTGAATAGAAAGCATAACCTAACACTATATAAGATTCTCATGGCATACCCTCTGTAAGTGCCATCTAGGCTTCCAGTCTCTCCATACCAAACAGATCTCCAATAATAGATGAGATTCTTCTGTATCACTATAAATGCTAATGAAATTTGGTAGATCTCTTTACCAACAGCTATTAGAAGTCTTGCCTTGATTGCTTGGTTCTCTCTGCCTCAAGCTTTGGCCAAGAGAATGAGTCTACATAAAGGCCTATCAGGAGGGAAATGCCCTTCACCCCTCACTGGAAGGATCCACTCCAGGTCCTGCTGACCAGCAGCACCGCTGCCTGCTGTCAGAAGCATCAGGACTCATCTATCACACTTCAGATCTGGACCCTTGTGCAGGGAAAGTCCCTCTTGTCACCAAGGAAAAAGAAACCCAGAACAAACCCACCAACTTGCCCCTCCTCCCTCCCACTCTCAACCTCCAACCTGATTAGAGAATACATGTGCACAGTAGGGAGAGCAGGAGACTTCCATTATCACTGACTGCACTGTTGTCATTCACCAAAGTATTCTCAGCAATCTCCAGACTAAACCCAGACTGATGTGTGATCCTACCTGGCTTTTGGGAATTCTGTATTTACTTGTACAACATCAGACTCAACCCTAGTCAATTTGTTTTCTCTTTTATGCTGGTCTGCTTATTTCATTACCTGATCTATGGTTACTTCTAAGGAATGGATGGGTAGCATTTTCTTGAACCTGATCCAGGGGCATACCTCTGAAATGAACCTCACGTCTTGTTGGGTGTGCTTGCATACACCAGGCACCATGGCAACGAGCTCCTATTGATTAAAATACTGCCAAATGTCCAGCTCTTCCAGGTGGCCAACAATGCTTCTCATTTCATGGATGTGGGCTGTACACGTCCTGGTGACCCCTGGAGTCTTACACGACTCATCTCTTTTCCATTTACTTGACATACTATGCTGCAGTTGGGTATGTGGACTT